GTGACTAACTCACCATTGTACGTGGCTGGTCTCTCCTCTGCTCCCCAGCTGGAGAATTGTGCATCCACAGCTGTGTCTCATTTTGCATAAGCTTGTTTAAAAAGGAAAAAAAAAAGTGTGTGTGTGTGTGTGTGGTGTGTGTATGTGCACACGTGTAACACACACATGCTGAAAATATACCGGACGGTGGAGGTTTCCAGCTTGAGTTGTAATTTTATTGAAAGCGTTTTGCCTGGGAATTGAAACCTAGACTGCGCCTAGCTTTTTCCTAGGGCAGCCTGGAGAGGTTCAGGTTCTGCAGTCATCTCATGCGTTCTTCTTTTTTTCTCAATCCTTTCTTTTTACAGCTGAATACAGACTGGAACAAATATGATGATCGGTTGATGAAAGCAGCTGAAAGGGGAGATGTGGAGAAAGTGTTGTCGATCCTTGCCAAAAAGGGAGTCAATCCCACTAAACTGGATGTGGAAGGGAGGTCTGCGTAAGTAGCTCCTAAGACTCTACGGGGAGGTGATGGCAGGTTGTCTTGGTCCCATCTTTACACTAAAATCTTTACAGCTCTCTGCACAGGGTGTTCTGATAAATTCCCACCATGCTGGAAACCCTTCTCATTAAAACAGGAGATATTAAACCAAAGAAGGAGACGTTAAGCCAAATATGCAAATGGCATATTTTTCTAGAAGAAGGCCCAACTGCATGGACTCATATAGAAAAATCACACATCATCTGCTCAGGGCTGTCAAACCTCCTGCATGCTGCAATGAAAGCAAATATAAATCATTCTTCAGTGCCCGCTATCCTCCATGAAAGAAATGGCTGAACCCCCATGGCTTGGAAGGCCAAAGGGCACAGCTGTTACTCTCAACTCTGCTCCTTGAGATAGTGATAGCCTGAATGAAGTGCATTTATTCCCGTGGGCAAGGTGAGGCTCTTGTAGGGTGGTGGAGGGGGAGGAAGAGGCAGAGAAGAGACATTGTAAAGCAGAAGGTTAAGGAAAAACCCATTTTGCTGAAATCTGTGCAGCAAAGGATAATTCCATGGGCGTAAGAGACTTGGCCCCTAAAGGTAACAGTGGGTGACCTAACCATCCCTATTTTCTTCTTGTTATACAGATGAATAGTGTATGTGTATATATGTGTGTGTATGAATCATGTGCACGCGCATATATATATATATATAATATGAGCTTTAGCTGTACAGCAGTATAGACACTTTTTTTTGCAGCGCATAGAAAAAATTATCTTAAACTTCTCTGCTTTGGGACCCATCTCTTCAAATTCTGTACAAATTTTATTTTATGTGAATAATGTGGAGATTTGCTAAAACCTTTTGACTTCTCTATTTTAATCTTGTCACAAGTGTTGAAGGCAAATACAATTGGTATTTAAAAAAAAAAAAAAGAAAAAGCAATCTTCAGAATTAAACTAAAAATGAGTTTGAAAAGCATTCTCCAGATATTACTGCTAGCCGTTTTGGGCTGAATTATAGCCTATACTTTCAGGCTGTTCAGCAAGTTTTGCATTGTATTATTTGCAGTAGGTAGTAGAAATGCATGTGCTAGGGAGGAATATTTTGTAGCTCAGTTAAAAAAAGGGCCTTTCTGATCCTTGCTGAACTGTTCTGGTTTCTGGAGTGTACTTTGTCAAAACGTGTTATTTCTGCCAAGTACAGGGGACTTTGGCTATTCACTTAGCTATTCTTTGTTTTCAGTCCCTTTCCTCCCCACCTATTGCTCATGGTTTAATAGCTCTCCTGGTTTAGTGGATGGATGTGTGCATGATAAAATACAAGTCTGGAGGTAGAATCAGTATTCTGAAATGCAGCCGGGGGATCCAGCTGTAGCTCTTAAAGGTGGCTTATCACTTGGCTTAAATATTTTATGGAAGAGTGGTAACGTGGTACTGTGTATCCAGCTTTCATCTGGTTAGGTGGGGTTCTGGTCCATGCCTGTTGGTGGACTGAGCTACAGCCGTGGATCTTGATGGGTAAACTAACCTCAGTAATTGCTCTGTTGTCTGGAAAAGAAGCTCCAGTGCTTTAAATGACCCTCTGTGCCGGTGGTATACCCTACCTTCCTCTGAGTCCCTAGTATTTAAAAATAGAGAGGTCCAGACTTCTGTCCCCCACTGTTAAAGCATTTCATTTCTGCTCCTGTCACATCACAGAGCAAAGCAGGATGGCAATGTGGAGGTGGTTGGACTAAACAGAAAATGTGTCTGGACCCAGTGCATTTTGAGAGGGGTGAGGTGCAGAAGGAATTGTTCTGTACCTGAACTGATCCATCATCTTTAATAATTGGGTTGATGGTTCAAAACTCCTCTGGTTCTTGTAACAGTCAAGTTGGCCTTCCCCATTGTTCGTAAAATTTGGACAGAAGCCTGGGTGCCTAAAACGCCTTCAGAGTATGAAGGAGCCATACTTTGAGCATTAAATGCTTCGTCTTGCCAAATTTGACATGATTTAGAAATGGAAAGCCTGTCTAACTTACTCGTTCTCAGGTACACACCCGATAACCTTACCTGCATGCCAAGAAATGACTCCTTTCTGCCTTGCAAAACTCTGTTGCTTAAGCCTAGAAAGGCACAGTATTATCTCTCTGTTTCCATTTCAGGTTTCATGTTGTAGCATCAAAGGGAAATCTAGACTGCTTGAATACCATTCTTCTACACGGGGTTGATATCAAAGCCACTGATGCTGCAGGTATGTTTTCTCAAACCTTTGAGACGATGTTTTCAAAAATGCTAGCGTAGGTCGATACCCCATCCTGAAACAAAGTTACTTTGTTAAATGTTTGTCATTTGCTTTACATTAGACCTGTCCTAGGCAGTCTTCCATTAGCACTTCTTACACCTGGTATAAAATATGTGGTGGTTTCCAACCTTTGAAAATTGCTACAAATTTGGATAACCTTGCAGGAGTAAGGCCAGGGTGGATGGACCACTGTTGCCCTGCTGCCCCCTATTTAAAGCGCAGAGAGCAGGGAGTACGTAGTTTGATATAACCGGGATCAAGCCACAGTGAGACATGCACTGCACATACCTCATTAAGTGATAGTGAGCCTAAATGAGGGGTGAACAGTTGAATTAACAGGCTCACTTCAGCTAAAGGGGTGTTGCTAATATAGGATTGAGAAAATGGTTTGTGGCCTTTGCATGGTTTCAGTGGCTGCTTATGCTAGTGTTATCTCGGTTGAATTAACAGGCTCACTTCAGCTAAAGGGATGTTGCTAATATAGGATAACACATAGGATTGAGAAAATGGTTTGTGGTCTTTGCATGGTTTCAGTGGTTGCTTATGCTAGTGTTATCTCATACTACATGTTCGAATTGTTAGTTCCCAGTCTAATCCCATTATGTACCTTTTAACCCTCAGGGAGAAATGCATTGCACCTAGCTGCGAAATATGGACATGCTCTTTGTTTGCAGAAGCTCTTACAGGTAGGAAAGACTCGACTAATAGCTGCTCCGTTTTCACAGTTTGAACGCTGAAGGCAGAGAGGCACTTTTTCAGAGATGCTATCACTACTCGGACTAGTTGGCTTTTACAGCAGGGGAGTTTAAGTCGCTACTGGACTTGTGCCTGCCCCAAAAGTCCTTTTTATGGGTTTTCTTTAATTAAAGAATGAAGTATTTCCCCACTGTTGTGTGAACTTCCTGCCCAAAGACTAGCCATACGCATGTGGAGTTGTAGAATAGATTCTGCTAAAAGCTGTTAGATGCGTTGTATTAAAAAAAAGGTGCATTTTATTGCCTATTCAGTGCCACTTCATAGCAACACCAGGTGTTTTGGAGGGGGCTTATCTGTATACATGTGTGTTAAATTATGGTGTCCCTTTACGTCTTCAAATTCGACATCGGACTGGGAAGACAGCCTGGGTTGTCAAGTCCTGCTATTGCAGGAATCGGGTCCCGTAACCTGGTGTCGTAACATGTTCAAGTTCCATCTTGAACTCCTTGTTCCTGCTGTTCCACAACCTTAATACTAGTTTCCAGCCTAATTTTTTTTTTTTTTTTTTCCATGACCCATTTGCTTTTGTGGAAATTCATTATTTTAAACAGTTCCTTTCTTTTCTTGGCATCTTACTTGTCAGCATGCCAGTATGCACACTGGTAACGATGCCATTTGTGTTGGCTATAGGAAATATAATTATTTCAACTTGATGAAGAAACATGCACAGTGGTTGGGAAAGTGCTAGGAAAAGTGCCTAGAATTTAATCCTTTGCAAATAATAACTGTGGTTACCTTAGACATTGCGCACACAGACTGACAAAGTGTTGAAATGCATCAAGGATGTGCTCTTTATTTCACTGCACATGTTCAGTGTTAAACAAGGCATCTGACTTTATTTGATCATACCGATTTTTATTTTTTTTGCGTGGCCAAGATAAACTGTAAATAATCCTCTTCAACAAGTCCAGAGCTCAAAATATAAATTCTGGCCTTCTCTGTAAAGTTAGAGACATTTAATATAATTTTGTCTGACTTAGCTTCTCAAAAATCCTGATTTTTTTTTTTTTTTTTTTTTTTTTTAAACGGAGTTACACCCCTTCTCCAACATACTTTTTACAGGCAGTTTTGAGTTAAGAGCAACGTAATTCTATTTTTTATTTTTTTTAGCTCTTTGACTTGTAGGACAGGGAGGTCGTGCATGCTAAATATGGGAACTGAATCTTGCTAAATCTCAGTCAAGAATTATTATTTTAACAGTTCAATTGTCCAACTGAAAATGTGGATTTGCAGGGCAGGACTGCTCTTCACGATGCAGGTAAACTGAGCATTCTTGTTATATTCTGCTAATTGCTATATGGCATTTCACTTCATGTTGACTCCGGGGGTTTTTTTTAGTCAACCTCATAAAACATTGTGGTAGAAAATATCTATCACACATGTTTATCTTCATCTAATTATATCACTCAACTGTGTTCGAGATAGCTGAAAAGTACTTGGGCAGTTGTGTTGTCAAGTGATTAACATTTATGACAAAAAAGGTTGGCTGAAATAGCCGTTGCTTACCCTGAGCTAAGAAAAGGGATCTCTTTCTTGGAAGGAGTGTGATAAAATGCGGTTCCCTTTTTGGTTTTGGATCTGCTTGTGTGAGAGGGGAAGGATTATTTTAAAAATTTCCAATCTGTTTTGGACTCTAACCAAAATGCTTGTTTGGGGATTCAGAGCTGTCATGGACTTCGCCCTCCTTAGGGAAGCAGAGACTCTGACGTGCTGCGAGCTAACGTAGAAAAAAGACTATTCAGTCTTGGAGCCGACTACAGCACTTGGATTTTCTACTAAAATCTGAAGAATGTACCAAGAGGCAGTGTTTCGGGTCAGGGGTGCGCAGTGCTAGCAGACCAAAATAGCTTAGCCTTGACCTTTCTCCAAGTCTTGCCAATACCCTGTGCCCTTTCTTACCATTTTAAACTCTTGCTGTGTTCAGCTTGTTGGCACATGCTTTGCAGAGCATGGCACCTGAGCTCATTAAATCCTAAAAGATAGGCACGCTCAATGTGTTTCTGTGTGCTTTTGCAGTTGCCTTTTTTTGGTGTGTTATAAACCAACCATCCATGTCGGCTTGCAATATTCTGGAAGTGGCTGTTACAGCTGCTGTATCCCAAACAACATTACTTTTTAGCAAAGTGGACAGTGTCAGCGTAAGACTGAGGCCAACTGATTTTAAAGTATAGTATTCTCTGTGTTCTTCCTGACGAGCTTTTTCTACAGCTGACGTGGAGCCCTGCTGATAAGTGTAGGTGGAGTTTTCTGTGGAGCCAGTCTTGTCCCAGTGCCGCGCTTTTAGATCTGAAATGCTTGAATGTGTGCAGTAAATAGCCCCATTGTCTTACATGGATCAAAATACAAGCAGCTGACGGTTTGTTGCCTGCACTTTGCTCCATAGGATGTTGGCATCCTTCATGTAGCATGCTTTAGGGGTGTGCATGTGCAATAGTCTCTCTCGCACCACCCAGCATCTTCCCTGGCTAACTCGAGGGCAGTGATGGGTTCTCAGGGGTCTTTCAGGGTCTGTTGGACCCTGAGAAAGAGCGACCATGCTGCGGAGCCTGGTAGCTGACTGGGGTATTGGGTATTGTGGGGTTTTGTGGAAGGCTGTGCTCAGATGCATACATCGCTTTCTTCTTGTTTTGCTCTTGAAAGCGATGTCGGACTGTTCCTCTGGCATACAGCTACTTTGTGATCATGGAGCTGCGGTGAATGCCAAAGACGGGGTAAGTATATTGCTCTCTCCCTTTGTCTGAATTGTCCAGGGCTGCTTGTGTTTTGTCTTCCACAATGTGTCCTTTCATTCAATTATTTTTTTCCTCTTTCCCCAGGATGGGAGGACACCACTGGTGCTGGCCACTCAGATGTGTCGTCCAAGCATATGTCAGAGTCTGCTGGATAGGGGAGCTGACCTCAATGCCAGAGACAAACAAAACAGGTGATGCATGCAGCTGGACTGTTCCTGGAAGTAGGTTTTGCATTGTTAAAGACCAGAGCTGTCTCTCAGCTTTCAGTCTTTCACATTTACACAGATTCTCAGAAGTCTAGGGCTGGAAGGGACCTCGTGAGATCATTGGGTCCAGCCCCCCTGATTTGGGCAGGAAAGATTGCAGGGGTCAAATAACACCAGCAAAGTGTGCATCCAATCTCCTCTTAAAGATCTCCAGGGTAGGTGCTTGCACCATCCTGTTTGGGAGTCTCTTCCAGAGTCTGGTCACACACAAGTTGTAGGACAGATGTTTCAGCTCTGCAGTTGAACGATACCCTGTCTTACGAATATTGGTTAGATAACTCACTGTGGCAGTGGGTTTTCTAACCAATCCTTGTTTCTACCAAAGCCTGTCTCAGTTGAACTTCCAGCAGTTTTTCCTGTTCTTCAGTGTGTGGATTGCTGGCTTCGTGCAGCTGAAATGCTGCCGATTTGTGCAGTCATGTCAGGTGGCTGCTTGTAGTGACCTGGAAGGAGATGGATCCCACAGCTGGAAGCTCAAGGTGCCTCTCCTACACTTAAACTCATGACTACCTACCTGCACACTACACTCGTAGGCTCCCTGCTGCCCCTCTATGGCCCCTGTTAAGGTTTCTTTTTTAAAAGCCTTTAAGTTCTTTCAAGGTCCCTTTCTGACTTTGGTGCTTTTGAGACATTTATTATGTGTGTTTGTACTCCGATTTTTCATATGCAAGCTTTTCATCCCCTACTTATTCCTGTGAAGAACAGAAGTGTAGGATGCTAGGCCAGAACATGGGTCCATATGAAACCTGCTTCTCAAGGGCATGTGCACTCCTTTTGGGGTGGGATTACCTGTGTGTCCAGGCACCTTCCAGTGTTTGGCCCAAAGTTTATGGCCAGTTTGAATTGAGCAGCTGGGTAATAAAAAAACCCCCCTATCTTTGTTTTTCTGAAACCCATGACAAATCAAGGAGAAAACAAAGACTAAGTCTTATTTCAATTTTTTCCTTTAATCACGGTTCTATCAATGGCGTTAGGCTGTCAAACATCTTACAGATTGGTTAAATAATCATTTAATTTGGCTTTTCTTTTTATTGGGGAAAGTGTCTTGTCTGTAAGCAGCACAGCCTTTCGTCACTGAGTTCACAAAGTACTGAGCTGCTCTTTTTGAGTAACTGTCCATCAAAAATATCTCGTCTTCCTCAAATGTCTGTGTGGTCTCTTTCCCACCCCAGGACTGCTCTAATGTTAGGCTGTGAATATGGCTGCAGGGATGCAGTAGAAGTTTTGCTCAGAAACGGTGCGGATGTTAGTTTGGTTGATGCCCTTGGTCATGACTGTACTTACTATGCCAGAATTGGTGACAATGTTGACATTTTGGCCCTACTAAAGACTGCCATTGAGGACTCCAACAAAGGTAGGAAGAGCATGCCTGTATCTAGAAGACGTTTCTCTTTCCTTGTGTTGGATTGTTTTCCCCTCTCCTCTTGATGTGTTCATTTTCTCACACAGGGAGCACGTCTGTTTTTGAGCGGGCAGGTAGTAATTATACTCTTTATACTTTTACTCTCTCAAGAATTTTGGTATACAAATTGAAATTATAGGGGGAAAATGACTTTTTGGAAACAAATGCCTTCAATATAAGAGTGCGTTTGGTATAACAAAGCTACTAGACACTTCCCTCCCCATTTGGAATAAAATGACACATTTCCCTAGGTGTGGCATACTCTGTAAAGATATGCTGTTAAGAAATTGCTGCCCTGGTGAGGCTGTAACTAGTTTGAATTAAAAATCAAACATGGAAATGATGCATTTGAAATCGGAACAGATGACTTGCTTAGCCTGCAGCTGAAACGAATCTAGCAGCCGGGCTCATGGAAGCCAGTCAGTCGTATTTATATTGAAACTATTTGGCTTTGGATGTATGAATATTTTTTCAGGTTATCCTGAAATCAACGTAAGCTGGTAAATATGTGCAAAAATATTACTAGGTTAATGTCTGCTCTGTGACGAGTTTGAATGGGAGAAAGCCTGCGGACAGATTGGCACTTGGAGCACTTCAAACAGCACGTGAGAGTGCGGATGTTGATGCTTGAAGAAGCACTTCAGATGTGACCTTCAAAATCCAGGAGCCTTTTGCAAAACAATGCTACCCAACGTGTCCGCACCCTCCAGCGCAGTGCGACAGGGGGTTGCCTGGTCCTCTTGCCTTCCACTTTATCCTGCCGCCTCCACCTGCGGTGGGTTGGGAAGAGAGTGGGACAGAGGCTGAGCCAACGAGCGCTCTCCTCTGTGCTTGTCCTTGGGAACCTCCAGAGACAAGGAGGGATTCAGGGGTCCATGCTTTCCAGCCCCATGGCTGGGGACAACTGCTGCTGCATGCTCTTGTGGCCACTGTAAGAAGCACTCCAGGTGTTGGGGGAGGTGGGAGGGTGCATGTCCAGCGGACCTGAAGCACTTGAAATTGGAGCAGGATTTGGAGTGCTTCAGGTGCCGTCTGTCCATGCCCAGAGATGACACCCATTCTCATGTTTGGTTTTTTTTTTAGTGAGGGACCTCACGAAGAAAGGGCAGCCTGAACAGAAGGTAAGGCTTTTCTGTGCCAAATCTCTGATTTTCTTTGCTGATTATAGAAGAAGTTTATGCCTGTTACTGCCACTCCATGTTCTTCCTTGACAATGGTTCCATCTTTGGGAAGATAGGCACACCCGTTCCTCTCTGCTCACTTCTGATGGTTTCATAGGGGAGGAAACCGCTGGTAGAACGCATTGTTCAGAATAAGCGGGGACATCCAACATTGTTTGTCAGTAAAACCTCTTCTGTTGTCTGAGCTCTGTACAAGCTATTGCTGAGCATAGCAGTGACTTGTCTGCCATTAGTGCGCTCTCACCAAGCTCATTGCTTTGTGGAGTAGGCTTGAGATGCTTTCTTGCCTACATGAAAGACATATTTTATTCTGAAGGTATCTTGAGCAATATTTTCTCCAGGCCTTTATTATTCTTTATAAATTACCCTCTGTGGCTAATGCTGAAAAGCTTATCAGCATGTGACCCAAGTTCTCCGGGGGTTTTACCTTTCACTGAAATGCAGCGAGTGGTAACCCTGCTGAATAGCCTTGCCTACTGGCTGGGATGGAAAGGGAATTCATAAGCTAAATTGCTATGCTTGCTAAAGCATTTATAAAGAGAGGCGGCTGCTTTTTCCCCCCCCTTTGCTTGTTGTCTGCCATTTGGTCCAGTCACATCAAAGTCAATGTGAAACATTTCTGTGCTGGACAGCTGTATCACACCGCAGAAATATTTTGCTGAATAATACTTCACGCTGACAGGGGCTCGGTAGGTTCTTTTATTAAAACTGCTTGGTCCCTATAACAGAAAAATCATTTGTCCGCATGTCTCGGGCACTTCAGGGCCGATTCTCCTTTTGTACAATTTCTAAATTTGTCAGCCCTTCCGGCTGCTTTTCTGGTCTGTGGGTGCAGCGGTGAATCTGGACCTTGCTCTTTTAAATAAATGGCATGTTTGTTAGTTTGGGGGTTTTAAGTTTGACTCGCATTGTGGTTTAACTCTGTCGCGATGGTGGCGAACGTTTGGACTGTGTGTTTTTTTCCGCCCGCCCCCCC